CTCTCTCTCTCTCTCTCGCATATTACACTGCGAATAGATATTCGCGCCGGACTTGGATGGGAATTCCTCAACGCTCTATGTACAGGATGTAGACGGGGCCCCGGTATAGGCAGGAGAAGCTCGATGAAGAGGAGCGGGATAGATGCTTACACTGCTGAATCCGGGCTTTCTGGCTCTCGTTCACAATGAACTGTTGGAGCTCCTGCTTATCCNAGCTCGATGAAGAGGAGCGGGATAGATGCTTACACTGCTGAATCCGGGCTTTCTGGCTCTCGTTCACAATGAACTGTTGGAGCTCCTGCTTATCCTTATCCGACAGCTTCGAGAGGTCGAGGTCTTGGGACAATGACGAGGTTCCGTGATCCATCTTGATTAGGGGGAGGGATTTGACTTGGTGGATGTATGGAATTGGTGCGGAAGCTGGTTTGTGTGGTTTGTTCTGGAGTTGGGGGTTATGGTGAGTTAGATGGTAGAAGAGAGCTTGAGGCCTACGATTTTTTGTGATGCGCGCTGGCTTGGCCCATGCGATGATTGACCAGGCAGGTGCAGATTTCTGATCATGTGATCTACCTTCACCTACACCGGCTTCTTACACTTGAATGGATAGGATGTCATTTCACGGGCTAGAAAGGCCATCTAGGAGTTAGATATAACCTTTATAATGGATGTGGTATTCGGTATTTGCTGAGTTACGCCAATATCCACCTGTTATAGCAGAAATCTCAAATATTAGATGCTATCTGTGTATTTTATATTCTCTATAGACATCTAGTACAAAAAACAGCTACTGCATACCCAAGATGCGCTCAGGCAAGGAAACATCCAACATAATTACTGAGCGCTTGACCAACTAATCGTAATGACATAGTAATCGTGAGCAAATCTCATCCGTACACGTACCATCATCAACCTTCTCTGTAATCTAGACTCTACCCTAAATAAATCTCATTCTCCTGGCCAACCCGAGACTCGCACAAGTGAAGAAAATCAGGAATCCAAAAATTCCAAAGAATGGACCAAGAGATCCACTCTGCTCCCATGGAACAGTAACATTCATACCGAACAAACCACAGACCAGATTGAGAGGAACAAGGATGGATGCAAGCAACGTGATCTTGCTTAGGACTTTATTAACGTAGGTTCCCTGAGCGATGTTATTGATTGAGAGCTGAGCGAGGTAGTTGCTGTGGGACCGGGAGAGCATCTTTTCGAAATGAGCCAAGCTGGTCATCATGGTGACGACGTGATCCTGGATATCACCAAGATAGAGTCCGATATCCATACGAGGAGTGACCTTGTAGTTTGCGTTGCATCTCTTTGTGAATCCCTTGAGGACGTCGGCTTTGCCGCCTAAGAGCTTCATGAGGCCCATGACATTTTTGCGAACCATGCCAATTCTTTGGAGGAAAAAATGCATGTCATCTTGGCGAGCAACAAAAACTCCATCTTCGATGCTGTCAGTCTCATGCTCAATCCTGGTAATAACAGGGGCAAATGAGTCAACGATGTCGTCACTGCAATACTATTAGAACAACGTTACATGCCAATTGGGGGGAGTGGGTGCTTACATCAAAGCGTAGCAGATCCAGTCGCTGCTTAGGGCCACATAATCTTTCAGCATCGTGATTCTCTTTCGAACTTGACCAGCATGAGGATTCGGGTAGAAACTGAAACTCAGAGTGCCCTCGCGGAAAACAACCACGTAGATGTTGAACGGCTCGTATTGCTGTCCTTTGTCTATTTGCTTGACGTGGAAGGAGCGGAAGCAAGCAAAGTAGTAAGATGGGAAGAGCTCGATCTTCTCCCGGGATTCTTGAGTTCCAATATCTTCGATCGTGAGCGGATGGACCCCGAATGCCTTGCAAATGGCACGGATTTCATCCTCAGTTGGGTTGTTCATATTCAACCACCAGACACCCTCCTCTTCCTCTTCGCCTGGGGGGAATGTGAAGAGGTTGCTCACAGCCTCTCCAGGCAAGATGAGATCTCCAAATTCCGCAGCATGGATGGTAGCTTCTCCTTGTGTAGAAAAGAACTCGAACCGGTTGATATCATTACCATTGATATTCGGCTCTGCATGCTCGTCTAAGACAGTTTCGGCTTCCTTTTCACTCAGTGAAGAGTAGTCATCAGATATGACCTGGGTAAAATCACCATCCGCGGTTGCCACCGTCGAAGGATGAGTAGCTTTCGGCTTGCGAAGATCAGGGAATACACGCGTCTGGGGCTGCGTCTTCTCGCGAGCCGCTTCTTCAGCAATAAAGTCCTCCAGAGCCTCGAAATCAATCTGGAGGTTGTTCTTGTTTCCTATTGCATGAAGTGGAAAGCAGACATCTTCTTCAGCTTCAGACTTCACAGACCCCACAAAACTTTTCGCATCGTCATTGCGGGTAAAGAGTCTGCTCCGACCGCTGCGGTGGCTAGCACCAGAGATAGTCCGGCGGAGGTCATAATCATCCTGACGTCGGGCTTCAGCAAAAGCCTTGACAGAACTCGGGTCAGACGCGGAGAGCTCCCGCTCCCGCTCGCGGTGACGGGCGTCAGCGAAGGCCTTGACCGAATTGGGCGGCGAGATTGATCGTGGGTCGATGGTATCCACCGTCCCACGGCGGCCTCTACCATTGCCTCCATGGCGGTCAGCACCGGGGGAGATCCCGGTATCGTCCTCGTCATCCATTACCGCTTCTTCAAAGTCCCTGGCACCCGTGTGTAGTAGTCCTCGGTTAACGAGGGACAGTTCGGGACGCTGGCCGGCGCGGAAATTGACGCTATGAACCGTGTCAACAGTGCCACGTCTAGATTGTGACTTCTGGATGGATGCCGATTGGTGTCTGTGGTCATCGAGCTCAGGAACAGGCGTGCTGTATCCAGTATCGAAAGTGTGGTCCTCGTGGTCAGACATTGTGCTGGGGCTCTGCAAATGGAGAGCTTAGTTGTACGGCTTGTGTATTTCTGGAAACAGTCAGACTTGCACGCCACTCTTTACCAGCGGAGTCTACTCACATAGAGTTGATTTAGAAAAAAAAAAGCGCTCTCAGGGCTATAAAGCGGGCTGCACCGAGCGCCCACTGCGTGTCGGCGTCAATTCGATAGAGGGATTTGCACAGGTTTCCCCTGTACGGCTCCTAAAGGTAGGAAAGCGGACCCGTCCAGCCCCAAGATGTGGTGTGTTGTGTTGTTTTGTTGATCAATGAGTGTTTCCAGGCTCAGCAAGACCAATTATGGAGGCTTCTTGTCACCTCCGCAATAGGCCCAGCTCTTTGGGCCGAGGAGCGGACGGATGAAGGAAAACTGGAGGAGTACGAGTCCCGCCAACTTGGTGGTTGTTATGAATGGGGGGCCCACGGCGGTAGAGTTTGGGGAGAGGTTGTTTTGTGTGGTGGGAAAGCTCTTGCGGTTGTAGTTCGCCTAGAGGTAGGATATTGGAAGTTTGGTATCGTAGGTGGTGTTGAAGGGGGGTTGAGGAGGAAGGAAATTCAGCCGTCGAAGATTTCTGCGCAGGGAGTTTGACGCAATGACGCTGGTGACGAGGGTTCGTCGGGGCTGGCCGCCGCACGTAAGCGTAGGAGCTGGACCGAGGCTGCGATTGCCTCTGAAGTCAATCGTGATTGATTACCTGCCAGAGGATAGTGAATTAGGGCGAGGATTAGGTAGAAAGGAAGGGTTTGAAGTGATCGAAACCGATGGTTGTAGGAGGAGGAGTTGCAGCAAGATGGGGCGACTGGGAAGAATTTTGAAGCAGGATGTTTTGTTTGTTCGTCTCCGTCTCCGTCTCCGTACCAAGTAATCGTTCTCGCAGCGAGTGGAGTCGCCGCAGGAAAACCGGACGGCCTCCCAGCCTATAGCGGCGCCACAGGCTGGCTCTCTCGCGGCTGCACGCAAGGCCGAGAGCAGTCCTTTCGTACTTGGTCCTTGGTATGTCGTAACCGAAAGCTAAGTTGCCCTTTGTGCGGTGATCGCCGGGAGAGGATTAATTAATATTGGGTTGTTCGGGCACATATGCATAATATGGGCCGATGTCTCATTTATCTAAAGGAAAGTCTTGTCAATTGCTGCTTGGCGGCGCTTTTGAGGCTTTTAATAATTATAATTAGATGTCCTGCCTTTAGATGTCTTGATGACTTGTGTGGGACGGAGGACTGCTAATGCTAATAATCTAGCTTGTACAGTACTTTGTACCTGTAGCCAGAATACCTACTGCCCTAAATCCCCAGGTCTCAAATGGCAAAATAAGCCGGTGATAGGAGGGAATTGAAGAAGCCTTGCACGATACAAAGCCACGGGAATTGATTAGATTTGGCGTACAGAATCCTTTACTACATTGCCTTTTGTATTTGTGCCTCCTATCATGTACAAGTACATTATGCACCTATAGAACATTGGTCATTACCAAACCAATCGCCCGTGTAGAATCCAATCGTGGCTTGAACCGCATTCGCCACATTTCCCCAGATTCCCATTCATTCCCATCACGTGACAACCCCGAAAGGCCAGACACGCTTCAAGCACCAAGCAACGGAAACAGGAACAGGAACAGGAACAGGAGCATCAACGCGAAGAATCTACAACCCCGTCAACCTCCCGCCCCTCCCTTTAGAGCACCATGGCCGATCAATTGTTAGAAAAGGCTCGGGATATCTTCGAGGGTCAAATTGTTTGTCCACATTTTACGCCCCGCATAGGAATTGAATTGGTCCCGCTAACATTTACCTTTACTAGGACTTCGAAGGGCAAGAAATGGTGGAGCTGCTGTCAACGTTTATACTTTCATTAACTGGCGTAAGGCTCAATGGGCTACCGATTATATGTACATCAGCTAATTAGCAGCAGGCCTTTGCCTTCCTGTGCGGCTACCTGTTCCAAGACATCCAAATGACGCTCAAAGTCGGCCTCGGTGGGCTGCTGTTCACCTCGCTCATCGTTGTACCGCCTTGGCCGTTCTACAACCGAAATCCTGTCAAATGGCTACCAGTGGGAGGACGTGAGAAGAGTGCGCAAGGGATCACGGTAGATGGACAGGTTATAGGGTGATCAGCCATGTAGGAAATATCGTACTAGCATCGGCGTTATGGGAGGGGTTTTTAATTGAGAACATGGCACATGGATACCCGAGATCATCATCTTTTATTGAGACCATATTCCAGAGATGGCTATGTCGTCGGAATCTATACCTGCTGGTGAACGCCGTCACTTTGGGATTCCCTCCATAAGCCCTTTGCGCCGCAAGCTATAGTGTAAACGCAGCCGTGTGCGATGCAATACTCTGCTTCCAGGATTGCCTTCATCATCTAATGTTCGTGGTCCGTTTCTCATCATATATGGTTTCATAATCCTCCCCCGCAACGGCTTAACGGCCATACTTCTGGAATTCCCAGTCTCGGTTGTCGAGGGGACAGACTTGACGGGTCTTCAACCAACGGGAGATGCAGTGGAAGTGGAAGGCGTGCTAAACGATCAGCATTGAATAGAGCGGGGGAGGGAGCTCTTCAACTTACATTGCAGATGCCCCACGCGACGGTACACTCCTCACTGGTTGCAGATGCTTGGTTTGCCTGGCATTCAATGCCTTTGAGATGTTAGACGAGCCCCAAAAGTTATAACATAGCTACACTTACAGAGATCCATAATGTGGTTTCTGCAGATAGCACAGTTGTCGACGACGATGTCCCAGGCCCATAGAGCTACCGCATTCCACTGTCCCAATATTAGCAGCTATAGTGACCTAAGCCAGCCTGGTAGATCAAAGTGCCCGCACCTTCTTGACCTCGAAGCGCTTCTTGCCTTCTACTGCGCCGTCTGAGGGGCCAGCTTTAGCTTTACCAGCAGCCTTCTTGACGGGCGCTGAGGATCCAGAAGGAGCATCTGTCATCTGGACGTCTGCCATGACGAGACGAGAGTATTGTGAGTGTGGACAACGAGAGCAAAATGCGCGACGGCGGTAGTTCTAGTTCGTGGTGATGATGGGATCCTTTCAGGCGCACCAAGGTATCCCGGTACCGATGGCGGAACTCGAGTACGCAGGTACCAGAAGGTCAACGGACTAGTTAGGCCTAGATTGCTTGTACAGAAATGTGCCTTGAATACTCAGCAAAATAGGGCTGCTGGCGTATACTACTTCTGGAGTCCTTCAAGAGTTCGAGGTCGAAATGGAAATACCAGGAGAGGTACGAGGTGCACGTAAAGATACCTTTTGGGCGTGGACGGGTTCCCCATGCCCTACGGTGGCCGAGCCGAGCGTGCAGCCGCGTCAAGTGTCGACGTCGTCGGGCGTTGTTCGTTCATCGTTCGTTCTCCAGCCGCCAGCCTCCTCGCCGTCCTTTGCCCTCATCCTTTTATCGCAAATACACCAACACCACACCACACCACACCTCCCACGACACCGCACTCTCCATCCGCTATCACCCGTCGCCTTCCAGATATCCAACAATAGACAATGAACAATGACCAGTGCAAATCCATCACCCAGATCAACACCCGCGCACACCCAAAGCCAACTCTACGACACCCATCACTCTACCCCGAGCGACTGAGACCAACCTGTGCCTTGCTATTACGATCTGCAGACGGCGCTGCCGCATAGCCATACATAGCTGCCGCGCGTCCTGTGCAGCGCTTTACTGCGAATTTTCAGTTTACTTTCCACCTGTTATCATCTTGAGCTCCTACAACGGCTGCTTATTTACAAGCCAAGGACGCCATGTCATCAGAAGACATCATCCTCCCTAGAGGACATCGTCACACTCGAAGTGCTGCTGCGGTGCACTCTGCATCCCCTCCTTCACAACATCCACACAACCCTCACCACCTCAATACCCAAGGCCATTCTCAGGACGGGCAATCCGGAATGAGCGCCTACCCTACGCAACCCACTACACCCCCGCGTACCCCTCGAAGGGATAACCAACACCAAAACCATAACCAAAACGCCAACAACTCGAACGCTCGCGAGCCTGGATCGAAGCAGAAGGCTCGCAAGAACAAGAACCGCCCCAAAAATGTCATGACTTCGCCTGCCGTGAAAGCAAATGACCGAACTACTCCCCCTCTGAATCGAGTGCAGTCGGCGGGAACGGCATTATCCTCAAAGCCGATAAACACACCGTCAAATGCCGTCTATGCCGGGGCTACCTTCCACGCATCGCCCGCTCCGTCAGCTCTACCAATACCGAGCTTCTACTCAAAATCAGTGCCGGAATCCCCTGGAATAAAAGCTCTCAAAGCGGCGAAGGAGGCGGATCTGGCGCAGCCTAGGTCATCGCGCACACCGCCGGCCGCACCGTCCTCGGGCAGAAGATTTCAGAGAGAAGAGTCCCCACTCGACTTATTTTTCAAGGCAGACAGGGAGGAAAAGGCACGAGCACAGAGTGCTGGGTCTGCACACATAGCTGGGGATCCCTCTGGACCTTTTCAACCTCCCCCTCGGTCGGCACTGGATGCCCAGACACCGCCTGCCCAAACCAATCCTAACCATGCCCGCAAGGGCCACGCCTCTAAGCCCTCTGGCAGTGGTATATTTGCCATGGACCTGGACGGCCCTTATAACCCAGGTACACCTATTGGGCCAGCATTCTCTACCCCTTACTCCGAGAGGATCAATGCTGCCAAATCTACAAGCAAACCCAACCGTGTTGACTCCCAACAAGCCCTTGAACGATCTGAAGCCTTGAAGGCATATCTATTCTCCGGTCACAACATTTCACCACCCCCGGCAACCAATGCTACTGCGGCCAGATCTTCACCACTGACACCTGCTTCATCTTCGCACCCGCACTATAACAACTATTCCCCAATTCATAACGGAAACGCGTCAAATGGTACTATTAGAAATACAGTGCGTTCCTCCAACTTGCGGCAACAGGTTACTCCCACCAAGACACCTGATCGCAACACTCATTATTCAAATTCGATCACCCCTTCCCGAAACTATGGAAATGCTTCGCCCTCTAATCCGAATAATCCTACTGGCCATGACATTTCTCATGCGACCTCACCTCCTGCATTATCACCATATGGCGCTTCATCTGGCAATGGAACCTCTGATCTTCAGGGAATGGAAGACAGTCTTCGTAGGATATTAAAACTAGACCCAGCGAGGAGCCCTTGTGCCCCAGAAGCACCCATCAAATCTACGACGGCAGGAAGTGTGCCAAATTATGCTAGTGGCAGAGTTCCACATATTCCCGGTACGAATAATGGCTTTATGAGATCTTAATATAGGAAGCAATGAATTTCGTTGTATTGGCAGGATATTGGCGTTAAAAGTCTGGCTGCTTGGTTTTGCAGCCGTGACTTGGGATCTACGATATTCTACATAGGTACTCTTTTCAAAGGATTGGAGGAGTTTTGTGTAGGAGACATATGGATCGGCCTTGGGAGAGCGTGGTCGGCCTAGACCGTTGCTCTCACTCTATACTTTTAAGGATACTTGATGGCGAGAATTTCCTTTGTCTTGAAACAACCGACCGCACATTCTGCAAACTTTTTTCTTTTGTCATAGATAAGTTGAGAGGCATACGTCTGGAAATAGGTCTTCTAGTAGACGACAATGAACGGATCAGTATGGACGCCTATGGAGGATGGGGATTGGTTTTGATATAACCATTAACTACTTTGATCGGGACATAGGTCTTGGTCAGGGTCAATGACAACCAATTCCCATAACTTTGATACAGACAGAGATGTAGTGAGTGATGTCTTCGTAGAAATTCGAGAGAGGCCATATGCCTTTTCTCTGCCGCTAGGGTTTATCTATAATCCACCCTGCCATAAGCCCTTACCACATAATTATAATAACCCTTAGATAACCATCCGTGTCGATTTTTGATGTCATAAGACATCAAGGTAGCGATCAACTTCCCGCCCCCTCCTGACTATATTATCTAGTCAGGACCTAGCATATTTAATAAATATTTAAGATTTTTAGCTCAAGCACTGAAGATATTTGGATACTTATAGCCTTATCGATGAGCTTTCGCATGTATTTTAGGTCTGCGATGCCCTATCATTCTCTCAACGGTGAAGTGTGTGATCGAAATTGTTTTAAACGTTCTGCTATTTAGTTGATGAGCATTCCCAATAATAGATCATGCTGGAGTGATTAGAATATTTGTATTAGTGACTTTGATATATACATGTATACATCTACACACTCGGGTTTTCTACCCTTTTTTGGGGGCCAATTGTCCCATAGCCCTTGACCTTTCGCGTAAATGCCCGACTTTGCCAGAACCGTTCAATCAGCTATCCCTCCTTTGAACTATATGCCCTTTAAGTCTTGCCAAATTTAGTTACAAACATGTAAAACTTTCCACCTGACTATCCAGCGCTACCTTTATGACTTACGACGTACATATACTAAGTTGCATGTACTAATTGAAACTTTTCAGATCTCTATCTTTGCCCAACCAAGAGACCGATACTTGGAAACCGTGAAATAAAACATCGATTGCACTGTGTAGCCATATGAATCGAGCTTACGAAGTTATGAGCTACATCATAACAGAATATATAGAGAGGTTTAAAATATCGACAACTTTTGTAAATCAGAGTTAATTCCTCGAAAGACTTGCATCACCTAGCACGCCCTATAACCCTATGTTTGGGGTTTATATATATATCTATTAGATGACTTTCGGTTTAATGGGCATACCCAGGCGTTCACCCAGCATTGGACTCTCATCCAGAAGTTCACTTGAGTTTATTGGTCCGTTGAGACACTCGTTCCAACCCGATCCGCTCGGGTCTGACATAACAGTTTGCCGCTCAATACATCTTTGATATAAAGGCATTTCCCCTTTTATGGAATGATTCTCAAGACTTCTCGACAACATCGTCTCTGTTGCTGCCACTATGACTAAGCAGGAACACTCCCCCCTTTGCCACCGCTTACAGGGGGCCGGACCGGGAGTGCAGCCGCGTCTGCGATTCGCGACAAAAAAGATCAATCTCAATGCCGATAGTCAGCCTCGCCAGAAAAACGTCAACTTCGAGAGGTGGTATTCCATTTTCACAATGCCAACATGAGACGAACAGTGGTATCCGGGGGCCGCAGATCGTGGTTCCGTAGTGCCCAATGTCGGGCCATCGGTCTGCAACGGCGACACTTTGCTGATGTCGCTGAGGGTGTCAGGTATTTAAATCCCCTCTTGCCCCCAAAACCGTCGTCGATTGCATCTCTGACTTGTGCTTATCACCAGGCCGTACGACGTCGTTGTAATCGGAGGAGGACATGCTGGCTCAGAAGCATGCGCGGGTGCTGCGCGTTCAGGCGCAAGGACGGCGCTCATCACCCCAAAGCTCGACAACATCGGGGTGTGCTCATGCAACCCTAGTTTCGGAGGGATCGGAAAGGGGACGATGCTGAGGGAAGTCGATGCGCTCGATGGTGTCGCTGGCCGAATAATCGATAAAGCGGGTGTTCAATTCAAGGTGTTGAATCGAAAGAAAGGGCCGGCGGTCTGGGTATAATTGCTTCCCTCCCGGCGAACAATAACTGTTGTCGAATGCTGCTAATATTTCGTAGGGACCTCGGGCGCAGATCGATAGAGAGCTTTACCAGAAACATATGAGAGAAGAATTAGAGGCGTATCCTAATCTATCGATTGTGCCTGGCAGCGTGGCAGATATTATCGTGGCGCGCGATGATGGCGATGCCCCAGGAGGAAAAATAACAGGAGTGCGACTGGAGTCGGGCGAGATTATCCCTACGAACCAAGTGGTAATCACCACTGGTACCTTCCTGGGGGGGGAAATTCATATTGGCCTGGAGTGCCATCCCGCCGGACGCATGGGAGAAGCTGCGACTTTCGGCTTGAGCAAATCACTAAAGGATGCTGGTTTCAAACTTGGAAGATTGAAGACTGGCACCCCCCCACGGCTAGCGAAAAGCAGTATCGACTTCAGTACACTTCAAGCTCAGCATGGAGATGACCCGCCAACGCCCTTCAGCTACCTCAACCAGTCAGTGACGGTCAAGGATCAGTTACTTTGCTATGCTACATATACAAATGAGGCATCGCATGATGTAATCAGAGCCAACCTTGACAAGTCCATCCATATCAGGGAAACTGTCAAGGGACCTAGATACTGTCCATCTCTTGAATCGAAGGTTATACGGTTCGCTGATAAAGAGAGACATATTGTTTGGCTTGAGCCAGAAGGGTTCAACAGCGATGTCATCTATCCCAATGGAATTTCCATGACCATCCCGGCGGAGGCCCAGGAACAGCTCCTGAAGACCATTAAGGGCCTCGAGAATGTTACGATGCTGCAAGCTGGTTACGGGGTGGAGTACGATTATGTGGACCCAAGGAGTCTGAAGGCCAGTCTGGAGACGAAAGCTATCCAGGGCCTCTTCTTAGCGGGTCAGATCAATGGCACCACAGGTTATGAGGAAGCAGCGGCACAAGGAATCGTTGCTGGAATAAATGCTGGCTTGGCATCCCGCTCGCTTCCCCCTATGGTGTTATCCCGCAGTGATGGATACATTGGCATCATGATAGATGATCTCATCACGAAGGGTGTCTCAGAGCCATACCGAATGTTCACTTCACGCAGCGAGTACCGGATGAGTGCCAGAGCAGATAATGCCGACTTACGACTTACTGCAAAGGGACGAACTGCGGGTATCGTTGGCGATAAACGTTGGTCTTCCTTTCAAGATGACCTGGCACAGATGGAAGCCCTTAAGTCAGCCCTAATAGAGAAGTCTGCCAGCGCCCCGGTCTGGTTAAGCAACGGCTTCAAGGTTGCCAATGACACCTCACGGAGGACGGCGTTTGATGTTTTACGTTTGGCAGATGTTACCATATCCGATATGGCTACGGTCATTCCGGAAGTCACAAAATTCAATCCCCATATTCAGAATAGGGTTTGGATTGAGTCGGTATACGCCCCTTATGTTGTGCAGCAGACAGCTGCTATGAAAGTCTTCCAGAAAGACGAGAATCTAAAGCTTCCTGTTGACTTGGACTACGATAAAATTCACGGCCTCTCGATGCACGAGAAGTCTCTGCTTCATATTACCAAGCCTGAATCCGTGGGGCAGGCGCGACGAATCGAAGGCATGACTCCTTCCGGACTTGTCAGATTGTTGGCGTACGTGCGGACGAGAAACCGGATGCTGAGAGACGGTGCTGCCAGCGCGGAGAGGGCTACCACGGGCGTGGAATATCGTCAGAGTTAGGTAATCCTAACTCTATGTAACATTAGGACCTGGCTGGCTGCTGCGGGTTCTGCATGTACTACTAGCTCAGTTTAGGGCTATGAAATTCGGGTATTGTACATATGTATTTGTAGTAAAGTTCATTTCATGTGCATACTTCCCTCAAAATTCATGGTTTTCAGCATAGTTTGATCTCTTGGAACGTCCCAGACATTCTTGTGCATACTTCCTTTCTTAGTAGTAGATTCAGATTAAATTTCTCTCCTTATCTGTGATTTTCAACATTATATCATACCAATTTCGAAGCTGGCACTTCGAAAGTGGCCCGGCAACTGTGCAGCGGCACTATTGGGTACAACACCCCTTTCCGAGTTGATGATGATCTCTTTTTGCAGCAAAGATCTCTAAATCCCTATATAGGCTCTCAATTTTCGGCAGCTGGGCAGACATGGAGTGATCCACTCCGCGAGGCTTGGTTTGGTAAGTAGGCCCTTCCACGGTGGCTCCTTCCTGTGAAAGATTGCTGACATGGCTGGAAGCGCCTCCGTCAACTAGTGAGGCGCTGGAGAGTGATGCGCTTGTAGGCAATTTCTCCTCTAGTAAGTAACCTCTAGAATATCATATGAGACAGTCGCTTTGTCCCAAGATGCATATTTTCTAAATTGGTGATTAGGCTCTCGAGAACCCTTCACAGCTGGCGATACATTAGAGGATACTCCCATCGCCCCATGTTCTGGTAAGCATACCTTAGTATCCCACATCGCCAGCTCTTTTCTACGTTATACCCCTAACTCGGCAATTAGGCCCGCACTTGCTCCAGTCTTTGTCCGCTGGCGAAACATCCAGTCCAGAAGCCTTGTCAAACCCGGCTATAGGAAATCCCACATCCGGCCATATCCTACCCCCTTCCGCCAACCCTTCCGGCCCTTTTGGAGCAGACCATATGGCTGCAACTCCTTCAGCCTCCCCTATCTCTCTTAGCCCAACTCCTGTAAGGCGAGCAAAAAGCATGAAACGGAAGCCATCAGTTTCCAACCAGACAAGCATGACTGAACGCCGTCGTAAAAGGTCTGGTCGGCCCTCTATATACGACAAGCATCTGGAGGAAGATAATAAGGTCATCGCAAGGCTCAAGGCGAACAAGGTTGCTAATGACAGCAACCTCAACACTGCTTTACGGCCTTTGCCAACGGCCTTGTCGCTCCAGTACCAACAGCAGGAGCCGCAAGCGTTTTCACAGGGTCTTCCACCTCAAGCATGCTGGCCACAGGCCCCTCCGCCATTTCTCCCCGCTCCGGCACAACTAGATTGGCAGCAGCCTCCTGTACCACAATTCCTTGCCATGTACGTGCAGCCGTTTCCACAGCAGTACCAGCCAACTTTGCAGCCAACTCCAGCACTACAAAGCCCTTACAATTATGGGCAGCCTCATTTGGCATCAGCTACAGCATATATTGACCAGCAAAGCTATCAGGCGCAGTTTAATTATATTCCATACCACCATGACCCATACGACTATCTCACCAATAGTCCGGAATTTGTGTGAGGCTAAATGGAGGATTCGCTGCTTGGTTGTAAAGGGAGGGTAGGCAGAACGTTTCAAATTTTTTGAACGGTTATCAGCTCAAGGCTTGCTTATCATATTTTGGCTGTTGGGGGAGCGATAAACCCACTGAATTGGGCGAATGCCCTATGGCTGTGCCATGGGTACTTTTGGGGTGTCACTTTTACTGTTTATAGCGAGCGAGCGTCCATAGCATGCGTTTTACGGCCATGTCGACGGTTGGGCTGGTTGCATATTTGATACACGGTATGGCAGGCTGGATGGAGCCATTGAGCGACGACAGTTGGAAATAAGTGCATTACCCTGAGCTTTGATGTTATTGTGCGGTATATGGTTATTGCTGGTTAGTAGATTGATGAAGACTCATCCAAGCGTGCTACCCTTCAATGGTGGGTACCGAGCGAGGAATACCCATTCGATATCAAATTCTTGAAATCGATTCGTTATTCTGGTATACATATGCTAGCGTACAGTACATGGTATCTTTAACAGTACAAAGTCTTATTGCTTCATCTTCGATTCCGGCTCCTTTGGCTTTTGGTCCTGGTTTAGTATTTTTACAGCATCTTTCGAGTATATGTAACTGGCGCCACTCCATATCGTCGTAGTTGCGACTAGATACCTTTAAAAATTGTTAGTTTTCTCCACACACCCCGCAGAAAAGAGATAAAGAAGAAAGGTACTTACTGCATTGCCGTCATAGCGCTCGCAACATCCATAGTCACAAGTGGCATCGCAGTCGTCGCTCCAATAAGCGCGAGTTGCAATGCGGTGTTGTATTTACTGATGGTCGTAGGATGGACCTCAGCGGAAGGGAGACTGAAATCCCAGTACCGCGAGAAGGTCTTTGGTGGAGGGAGTGAGATCCAGCGGTAGTAGATGGCTGCTATTCCAAGACCAACGTCGCGACCCAGGATTATGACTGCGAGCCAGACTACGAAATGTGTTAGTTAATGATGTTTTGGGCAGAGGTTGTAGAATAAAAGAGCATTGTGTGTGAAGCTTAGATTGGGGAAGTCGGGGAAGGCAACGAATGTTTGGGACGACGAAGGTTTTGGAGAAGATGGAAGACTTGTGGAAGTGGATATAAAGAATACGAAGCTTGAAAGTGGAAGAAGTTGCAGAGCGAGAAGCCACTTAGCATAAAATCGAGCAAAGCTCTCAAAACGAGAAGAATCACTAACCTGGAAGCGCCCCTTTAACAGCCAAACAGACGGTCAAGATAGTCATTAGCGTCTTATCAGCCATCGGATCAATCACAGTTCCCACAACAGTCTGTAAATTCCATCTCCTTGCAATATACCCGTCGACTAAGTCCGTGATTCCAGCGTAGGCGAACAGTCCCACGGCCCAGGCGTGGTAATCGTGCAGGACCAGGTATCCGATCACTGGAGCGACAATAAGACGAGAGAATGTCAGGATGTTGGGGATTGTGTAGATATTTTCCCGCGGCGTTAGGCTTTTAAGGGCAGTGAGGAGAGGCTTTTTAGGAGTTGGAGGTGGGTTTCTGGGAGACGTGGTTAGTAGACATAATAAAAAGGGGGCATTTAAAGTCACGTGAGCAACGAAAAATACGCCCAATCCTATCCCTAGGTCCCGTCTTCCCCCTCACAGACGTCGAGGAATGGCTCGGATCCACCAATGGAATGATGAAATATCTCGGGAACATCATGTCGTACCTTTGATCTTCCTCCCATAACCTTGACGTTGAAAACAGCAGTCTCTTCCCCGGAAGAGAATTCTTTCCACCTCGTCTAAGCACACAGTTAGACGTTATCCTATTGCCTCCTTTCAATTCAATATCTTACCCCAAGGAAACCGAAGCACTGACAACCCTCGATCTAGACAACACCAGCGAACTGTGCTTATATCGGCACGCCCCAGCCCATACTGCTCTTGAAGAGCAACCTGGGCTGCTCACAGATGCCCTCAGAAGTCCTCTTGTCCATCTCGAAGCACATACAGATCCCATCGCATTTTGTGCTCTGCAAGGAGCAGAGAATTGTTGTTGCCAGAAAGACCTTGGGGCGGTGTTGGGCGCGGCGTGAGACTCAAGATTGAAGCTTTTGCATCGATTGTCTCACTGGACGACGGACGGATACCGGGAGACGCGACTACGCGAATAACCGCGCGTCTATACTGCCAAGCGGCGTTTGGAGATGGACCCCTGTTTTCGGTTGTTGATGTGGGTCCATGCAGTTCTGTTTCTAATTCCAGACCACACTGACGTCACGCTAAAACTGGTGCGGCCGCATCCGGAACTTGCGAGGGTTGTGTGGACTCCTCCATGCCACAGTGACCTAAGGTACCTTACGTATATCTCAATTGTTGATGGTATTCGAGTGTTGGAAGTTGGCATGTGGAATTGTAGTATATACGGATATAAAGACTTCAGTTTGCTTTGAAAAGCTTTGCAAATTTGATGTAAAAAGATGTTATTATTTCGAATTTATGGTGTGTCTGGTTAAAGTCCGTCGGACTTCCCTCTGCGCCCAACCCCTGTCTTGAATGATGGCCTCCCAACTCTCCTCTCCTTAGGCAATTCTAAGAATAAATAACTGTATGGGCACGCTATATATGTACCCACAAGCTTGTTACGTATTCCTACTCTCTCTTTTTCTTTCGCCTTCTCCCTTCCTCTCGACAAATACATAGTGTGCGAGCCCTCTCGGAGGTGAGGACATGCCATTCATTCCCCGGTACTTTTTAAAACGCCTTCCCGTCTAAAGTTGATATCCCTTAAGTCTGAGTATTCGCCTAGTGAGCGTCTGTCCGACCATATGCCAGGTATGACCAAGAGACGAAAGGCGATCCGTTTAAAACGAGAGTGTGCTCCACAAGGAGAGTGCCAGAAAAAGCGAAATAACCTTTTCTTCCTGAACCTTGTTGAAAGATGGATGCACTCCCTCATGAAGTCCCTGTGCTGGCCCATTGCTGCTGTGGCCCAAGGTAGTGCCCATGGCCGAGGCTTGCGTTACCTATTTGCCACATGCTGTCCTTCAAACTTGAACTGTCCACTGCAGTATAGCTGCTCATTGGTCGATCATAAAAGACAGGTGGAATGGGATTGGGTAGTGACTTTTGGAGTGCGTCATTATGAGACGACTGGTTGCTATCCCGGAAGTTCCCGTACAAGCCTTGAGAAGCATAGCTAGAATCGCTGCTAAATTTTGAAGGCAACGAAGACGAGGATGCGACCGAGAGGCCAGAATCGACTGAGTTGGTCTCATCAAAGATTGATGCCCTGCGCAGGCTGTTTGTGTTGAAACTTGAAACTTGGCTGCGGCCCGAGTCAGAGCCAATATTGACCATTGGATCGTACCGTGGTTGTTTGTAGCTATTGAGACCATAGCTATCAGTTTTAGGCGCTGAATATATCCCGGACACGGGAATAAATTGCCCATCATAGGTGTTGCCTGCCGGGATTGTTGGGAGGCCGTCATAAGTAACGGCATTGGCACCAAGACCATAACTACCATACAGGCTGGAGGCCCCATATGAAATAGGTGGAATAGGTAGCTGCATATCTCGGCTGGATATGCTTTGGTTCGTCATCTCGTAGCCATTGCGGAGATGAGTATAGGTATTGCAGAGAGCTCGACCTTCCATTCGATCCATAGGATCCACCTCATTGATTGGCGTCCGGAAGTTCTGTTTGGCAACGAGGTCGTGACGAGGGGTGATGTGTTGGAACCTAGGGTCTTTGGCGGGGGTGGTAAATCTATTGCTCATAACATCGGCAACGGTGTAGTATGAAACTAAATGGTGGGACACCCCCCCAACTACCACACTTACGGTCTTTTTAACAAGACCATCCTCTTTAAAGCCGTAGGAGTCCACAAGGGAGCCTATCAAAGCTCGCTCAGTATCCCTATCTAGGGCACTCGACGACGATAAGTCCATAGTAGAGGTGGAGGTAGTGGTGTCAAGAGGACGACTGGCATAGCCGGTGGCATAACCACTGTCAGTGTCGGTGTTGGTACACCCTCCATGTAGCTCTTGGGATTTGCTCAAGACAGGAGACCTTCGGTCACGCTTCATGGCTCGTTTCTTCTCGCCCGGGGGAAAGGGACGTTCGAGTTCCCGGTAAACAAGGAAGTTCCCCAGAATACGACTAGGGCTCCAGGGCACACCGTCGGTCCACCGCTTGATTCCGGATGAGTGTTCCTCGTATATGAACACATTACCGCTCTTAATCAGACTTGGACGTTCACGATCGTGAGGGCGACGGGGGACATGGTTGAGGGTTCCGTTGAGGCAAGCTTCGAACAATAGAAGGGCGTCATGCGTGGAGGCAATGTGCCCGAAGAATGTAGGAGAAAGAGGTGAAGCGGACGGCATATTTGGAGTCGAAGAACTGCGTGCCTGCTATGGTGTTGCAGGGGACGACGAGCAGAAGCGGCGGGAGGATCTGCCTGCAGTAACAGGTATATTTGACAAGTGGTTTCGACGGAAAGCAGACTTGGCGAGCGCGTTGTAGGTTGATAGAAGGGTGAGCGTAGACCGAAGATAAAGAGATTGGAAGCTCCCGCCAAGATGGCAAGGCGTTGAATGTGCGAGGGCGTGGATGCGTTGATAGCATAGGCCTCCCAGCTCTGTTGCGACAACGAGGTTGGAGACTGTCCGAGGGAGAGGAAACTCGATGGTTGTCTGAACCGTAGAATTAAGGCCAGAGAAGATGCTACTTCTTACACTCCAGATCCAAAACGGAAGGAGGCAGGAGATGCTTGGGCAGGCGCAATTGAATCGATCGCGAGACGCAGTTTCCGTGTGTTGGGAGTGAGGATAACCTAGTATTTTCTCGTCCACACTTCCGTTCTTAGAGGGTTCGGCTTCCTCAATGCAACCCACAGCTCGTGGTCTGCACCGTATTTGGACGATATCCAGAAGGGGAAGACTCGCGTAACCCGACAACGCGGGAGATGTACGGAAGTGGAATCTTGTCAATGGTTGCAATGCAGAAGAGGAAGTTGGCGGGGCACAAGAAGAAGTATGGTGTTGTCTAAATAAGGTGACCGACCATTTGCGCTACCAGCGATCGAAAAGGCGACGCCGCGTTCGCAAGCGGCGGGCTTCCAAAGAAGTCTCAAACGGCTTAAAGAGCTTAGCGGTGGCCGTGATTCTCTTGGGCGATTCTTGGATATACTGGGAAGAGCCGTTCCTTAAGCCGTTAGTTAGATAAAAGCTTGGAGTAGACCAAGTTCGCAAGGTGGAAGGGAAAGAGGAAGAAGAGAGGAGATAGGGAGCCATTTTGGCTGGTGGAGTTCAGTGATCATGGTGGACCAGCTCGCTGGGACTTGGGGAGACGGTGGGAATTCCAGATTTGAGGGGGACCGTACAGAGAATAATTACTACAAGCAGTGGGTAATGCTCTTCCCTTGCGGGATGCTGTGAGGAACCTTGACTCGCGAATCGGAATCTGGCTTGTTGTTGGAATATGGCGTTGTGGCGCACCAGAGCGATGATCTATGGGCGATGGCTGACGGGTGATGGCCGGTTCGTGCTGGATATCAGACGGAGGGGCGTGGACACGGTCCACAGAGAGGCCGCTTTCTCGATCCGTGAACTGCACAGTACTCAATAACAAGGGCAAGGATCAAATAAAAACCCCACATGCTACGCTGCTGAGTCCTATACTCGTATAGTCCCACGACTGGAGGAGTATCATGGGGGAGAACGAGCAGAAAACTGGGAGGCATCGGGCACCTCCGCCTCCTTACCAAGTCCTTATGGGCTGAACGCATCTGCCATCCACGAACAATCATTGGCCACTTGCCTATATGGCGCTTGCCCAGAGCAAAGTTATACGGGGAGCCCGGCACGAAAGATCATGAAGCTCAAGCAACGCCAGTCTCCCTAGTCTCAGCCGCGCACAGGTATCCGCACAGGTATCCGCACGCGGATGCGGTGCGGATCTAGATGTAGATGTTGATAGCACTACCATCTACCTCGGCAGGGCTGCAGTAGGGAGACCTCGTCTACCTAGTCGACCTAGTGGCTTGCGTGGATTGATAATATCGGGTACCGAATTCTAGAATCTGGACGCTTGTCTCGGACGAACAGTACTCGTAGCAACATCAGAGGTCCAACTCCTTAGGGCAATCGGGTACTAGGATCTGGACTTGTCTGCGCATGGACGCTGCGCCGCTGAGACATGGGGTTCAGTGGACTTTCTCCGGCCCCATTGGCCGCCATCGACCGCCACCGACCGCCATCGACCTACTCTTGCTAGGCTTGGATCGTGGGGTACAGTAGCGGAACTGTGGGTTTTGCATTCCGACCGTCATATGATTTTAGAGAGGATAACGGCGGTACTACCGTAGATCGTTGCTCATCTGCAACGAATAGGGAGCTGAAGCCAGGTGGGCTTAAGCCGCTATGATTGTGACCAGCCTGGATCCCCCACTTGCCGAGGATGAACCTTGCCATGAAGATAAAAACGGGCTTGTAAATCTTGGAGGGAAATCGCACAGCAGAGGATGGGGGAGTAGATTGCTCGATTTGGTAAGTCAGGTATGCTGTTGCCTCGAGAAGACACACTGGGATTCAATCAAAGCTGACGCGGTTGAGCTCGGATTGTCCTTGGATAATAGCACGTTTTGTTGTTCGAGCATCCAGTGGTTGCGAGAGCACGTAGCTATTGCACGAGAGCTGGAGGTTAGTACTGTCAGCACTGTCAGAGATCACAGAGTGGCGCTCGCCGGGATGATAAGCTCGCGTAGCTGTTGCAAGGAGCGTACAATATTTGGAATATAGTACGTAGTATGCCTCGACGACATGGGGCGCACCTTTGCAGGTTAGTTCGCATAGTTAGAAGGTTGCATTGTCTTATCTCAGCAGATATTATATCATGCCGACTAGTTTCCGTAGAGAACGTCAGAGTGCAGAAGGCGAGACTCGATCGCTTGACGTTTGAAGGCACACTCAATATTCAGACATGTCATGAAAGATCTCCATGTGCGATAGTCACTAAAACTGTTGAGTGCAGAGCAGGCTCAACGTATGTTGCGGTCCGACTCGGAGGCCAAGAAATGACTTCCCTCCCTCGGAAAATTGGCCAGACAGTCCTCGTGTGACATTAACTCGGAGGTCCCGGAAGCATCTTATCTGAGAATCCTGATAATGCGTCGCGGCTTCGTTTCTAGAACTGCACATCTATACCCTGAGGGGCACTGCCATTGGGCTGTGACAGGTATTGCCGGAAGCCTCCCGAACGTGATTATCATATGGAAACGGCCGGAAAGGGATTGGTCGCTATTTGACTGTCTCTCAAGATACGACCTCTCTTGAAAATATGGACCAGGACATTAAGAATATATGGAAGCGCACCATGAATTTGAGCCCTCCCATGACAAGCAGGGTCATGAAACTTTGTTGGAAAGGAACGAACCCAGTTGCTTTGGCAGGTCCTGGCCTCATTGTCGGCTCAGGAGAAAGCTTCCGGCATGCAGATTAACTTCCCTTGACAGCGCTTTGTTTGATATTCTAGTTTGACATATTTCCCCCTGTCGTTCCAGACGAGGTTTTCCATGAGGGTTTGAGTATTTTCGTTGCCTCTGTTTCTGGATTCGATGGCGTGCCAAATGCGTTTCCTCAGGCGGGCGTGGCCAACGTGTGAGCAGAGGTATCGGTCACGTCATGTCATAGATAGCCTGAGAACGGCATCATCATTATGAAAACGGACAGGAAAACGCCATGGGAGAAGGCCCAAGAGTCATGCTACGTACTGCACGTCGAACGCCCTGCTTTCAGCGCAAGCTGATGGTGCATGTCTTGTATGAGGTACCTTACATGCCGTAGGTACTTTCGGAGAAGCATGCGCCTGCATTGTGCCTTGCTTGCTGTACGGCGCCAGCAGCCAGCCAGTCGTGGATTTTTCTCGCCCCAAGTCAAGCTATGTCGTACAACACTGGAATGCCAGCTCCACGGTCGCTGTCCGTAGATTGGCCTATCGAAGCGCCAACCTATGTGTCACGCTGGAGTGCAGGCGCTCGATTGGCCCTCATCCGTTGCTCCGCGCAAGTCTGATGTCGGGCTTGCCACCGGGCGATAGGTAGTCGACCTTGGCCCGGGTTGGGAGCCAACTCCCTCGGTCGTCGTCCATATTGCTCACCCGACTCCGGCACCGGGAGACTGTTTGCAAAATGGATTCCGAATCACCCCAGAGGGCTCCTCTCCAGGCCCAGAAGGTTGACCGGGGAGATGCTGCTGGCTAAAGTATTGCGTGCTAGAGGAGTTGCAAGACATCGAGCGAGACCTTTCTAGGGCATACGAGGCGGATAACCTAATGTGGATGACTCGAAACTCTGATATATTATTCTGAAGAATAACAGCTGCTTTCCAACACGCTGGACGCGAGCGGCCACGGAGTTGAGTCGATCGTCGGAAGCCGGAGGCCGTCTTCATCGGTGTCTCCCCCGGTCGTTGGGCGTCAAGGCTGCACTGAGATCATACAAGCCAGGGCCTAGAGCGCATTCCATATTATTAATATGATTCATCGCTGTGTTTTGTTGGTTTCGAGAATTTGAAGGATAACGAAATGTGGAGAGATGAGTGATGAGAGAGATGTTTGCGAACCCAAATAAATCGGATGAATGCGAAGGTTTCTCTGCGGGCAATCTTCGGAGTTATTAAGCGGACCCCTATTCTGGCTTATTATCCTACCTCCCTAGGTACTCTGAAGAAGCGTAGGTAGGTAAGCTGGTATGACGGCTCATATATTGTTGAATCAGGTGTTAATCTTGCTATGCATTGTCACCTCTCTCGCCTCCATCGTTGTTCTCTTCTTCCTTCTCTCCTGTCCCTTGGTATTTCCTCAACTAGTGTTGCTACATATTCCCATCTTTTCTATTCACCCACCATTTTCTCTTCCTCTCCTCCCTGTTTCCGTTCGAAGTGCTCAAAAATACAAGAACCGGAAGATGATGTCTTTATGTCGCCTATGGCCTAGTTGGAAAACATGTAATCCTCATTGACAAAGAGTTCCTGCTTCAACTTCTCTTTTCATTTGTTGTTTTATCACCTCGTTCTCCCTCTCTGGCGAAACGCAGAATTCACGGAGGACGGTAACTCATTACGATATAACACAACCATTGTAACGAAAATTAAGAAAGGTAAAGATACCAAAGGTCTAACCGAGAGGGTCCCGTTCGTTGCTGTAGGAAATTATTCCCTAGATGGCAACCATCCTTGAGATGCCAATCGTCCCCTAGGTGACAACCACTCTTGCCCTGACAACCATCCTACCACCAAACATCTTGCCCACTAGTGATTAGGGAAGCTGGCACTTATTCGCTGCACGCCAACCGTGTTTGTTGCAGCGAAGTTGGAATTTTTAGACATGTTATATCAAATTTGTCGGTTGGACACTAGACCAGGTACTCGTCACCCCCATTCAAGTTGTGTCCAGATAGTCTGCTTCGGTTCTTCTTTAGTGCTTCTTGTCGAGTTATCTAAGCTGATTTGTACTATGCACCTGGAACCGAGTGCTTCTAGAGTTTGTTAATGGAAGTCCAAAACTAAATATACATGAACGACTTCTCTTATACAGGTGAGGAAAAGGGAAAGGATGGGTCTGTGAATTTAAATTCGAGGCCTACAAGCAAGTCTGTTGGGCCGCGAAATCTCTTGATAATCGTATCTAAGATATAGGGGCAGGATTGCCCAAAGTACCCGGACTGTGTCACTGTGCAATTATTATTGAGAACCGGATTCAATTCAAACACCGGGATGGACTATGTTGCATGTCAACAATCAGAGATTTGCCATTGCTCGCTAGTTGTTGCAAACGATTTTATGGAGAAAGAAACGCAATTGCTTTAGTGATATCTTCCCTTACCCCGGACTCCAAACTCCCCGAACTTCGTGACTGGGCCCCTCTCATCGCCTCCCAGTTTCTTTCCGTAACCTTCCCGCAGCAGTTGTAGGAGGTGGTTCAGGCCACGAAGACACAGCATCCTCCATCTCCTCCAAAAATGTCGTGCTATTATGCACACAAGTCCCACCCAATACTATTCTGACCCCAGGGGAGGAGGCATTAATCTGAGAGACGGTTTTCGCCTCCTCGAAAGTAACACCGCCCACTATAAATACAATGATGTCCTGAGGCTTGTCTCGAGTAGAGCCACCACCCTCGAGGAAAGGGTATTGTTGCTCGCGTAAACGCCCCTTGATGAGGTTTTGGAGTGTGAGCTCTAGTCGTGGGGAATGCTGTGTGTAGACATTTTCCACGCCCTTGAGTCCCTTAAAGCGATCTCGAGCTCCAGAAAATATCCCTGCCGACTCGAACATGTCGGAGATGCCGCCGGCAGACTGGGTTTGTTGGAGGGAGGAGTGGTAAATTAGAAGCTTTGCAACAAGATCAATTCGCCGTTGTGGAACATTCCCTGCCGCTCCCAGGAGATCCACTAACACGGCAAGTGCGTTTGATGGGTGCTTTTCATACCGCAAAGAGTAGAGGGCAACGAGCCTTAACTTTGAGTCAGCGGTAACGGTTGGTGATTGGAGAAGCCGTTGAACGTTCTGGTTTGTTGTCAACAAAATGAGCAGCAAGGGACAGTAGAGAGTCTTACCTTTAGATCACTAGCATGATTGTCGTTGCATGCCAGACTTTGTTCCACTTCACTAACTTCAAGGAGATTCTCTGATCCAACCATCCTGCTCAATTCTCCGACCAGAGTGACGTGCTTGCTCACATTGCCGGAAAGTTTTCGAAATTCCGGATATTCTTCGATGAAGCGTTTCATATCAGCAATAGACTCAATGTTGGAGCTGTTTTTGGTTTTTGACTGATATTGTTCGACATAGTCCTTGATATTGCCACCAAGATCTCCGAAATTGAGATACATATTCTTCTTAAAGAATGGATCTTGGTCTTGGGATAGGACTACCTCCTTTAACTCTGGCCGAATGTCTGGAACCTCACTCAAGTCCACTCGTCCGTTTTGGATGCCGAGAAGTTCGTGAACCATGGCCTGGTATGTCCATTGTGATAATAACGGCGTGATGGGGTCATCTCTTCGGTCCAATAATAGTAGTATCGGGGGTGTGTCGACTCTCCTGAAATCAAATAACTGTTCCTCCTGCGTGATGTGGTAACGAACCTCCGTTGCTAATTTCTTGGCCAAGAGACTGTTCTTCTCATAGCGTATAAGAGGCTTCTTCTTTAGAGACAGCAGTACCCCGATTAGTCCTTCGGTTGCGCGATGTAAAGCGTCGGTATTCCACATATCCGGACTGTTACTCCATATTCGCTGCTTTGGGAATCCAAGGTCTATCGAGAACAAATCCGGATTGACGACAATATAATCTGCAAAGCATTCCTGAACCGCCCTGACTACTTCGTGATCATCTGCTTCTGCCAAGCGCTCCAAAGAGGACTTCTTGGCCACGTTGCTGAAATATATGTTGTACTCGCCGTACTTTGGCTCTCGTAATTCGTCGATGAGGAACTGGATTGAATCTGCTGATGGTCGCACAAAGCATAGGCATTTTAGATGTCGCATCTTTTCACGGTTCTGATTGTCCAATCGATCGATGAGGTAGACTTCGTGATTTAGGAGGGCGGACTGGGTAATGGCCGTGGAAACGATCGATACAGTCTCGCTGTCCAGTAGGAGGATCTTCATCTTCGCGGATGGTGTCCCCGAGGCGCTATCCCCAGCAGACACCATCTTCGAGATGTATCCCGCCACAGCCTGGACGACGTCCATCTTTGCTCTGCGTCCGAATGTTCAGCGGCGCAATTTGGTCAACGTCCGCCTGATGCGGTCATCTCCCCCTCTACGGTGCCCCTTGTGACAGCTGCCTCTCCCTCTCCAGCTCGGGGCGCTCCAGTCGTTCAGTGTGGATATAGACCTTTAACAGCAATCAGTATCGACAAAGATGTCTAGGACAGTGATTATGGAAGCTTCGCAAGGTGGAATTCGTATTGAGGCTTTTCGTTTGGGAGTGATCAGCTGTAATTCAAGGTGGAATAGGTACCGAGGAAGTACAGGGACAACAAGGAGACGCGGCGCGGCGGTCTCCCCAAAGCTGCAGCACGGACCAACACCGAGCAAGGCTGTCCTCAACAAGAAAACAGATTCCCCTCCAACGTTCTTGTCCGCGACACAGCATGTGCCTAGCTACCTAGGTGTATATTAATCTCGCAGGATCAATCTCGCAGATGGAGACACGATAGTATTCTCGACAACCAAATATCTAAAGCATCACCATGTTGCCATACATTAACATCCGTAGGGCCTACTCAATCCAATCTTTCCATAGCCTCATCTGACGTCAATAGCATTCCAGTATGTTGCTGGCATTATAGGAGCGTCACCAGACGAGCGTATGGTTTCCTATTTCTTGTCCTCCTCGTGAATGTCTGTCTGTACCTGTTTGCTATAGACTAACATAGATTCTAGTTAAGCTCATTACCTCCTTTCTCCTCTCCTACCCACTTGCTGCCTTGCTCAAACGAGTACCCGATGCAAAGCCAGCTCTGAAGAATCTGTTCATAATTGGGTCAGTCAAGATATAAATTTTAAGACGCAAGAAGTGCCTTCTGACCTCTCTTAGGGTCTCAATATTCTACCTAGTCGGCCTTTTCGACCTATGGGACGGGTGTCGGACACTGGCAGTAAGCTCAATAGCAGTTTACTGCATCGCCAAAAATGTACAAGGACCGTTCATGCCATGGATTGGCTTCGTATTCTGCATGCTACATCTATCGGTCAACCAACTGGCGAGACAATTCGCCAACTCTCCTAGCACTGTCGACATCACCGGTGCTCAAATGATCCTCGTCATAAAGCTCACATCGTTTTGTTGGAACGTGGCAGATGGACGACTTCCCGAGAAGGACCTTTCCGCTTATCAGAAGGAGAGAGCTATCAAGGAACTGCCGAGTCTGCTAGATTTCGCGGGTTATATTTTATTCTTCCCGTCGCTTTTCGCAGGCCCAGCCTTCGATTATGTTGATTACAAGCGTTGGATCGAGACGACAATGTTTGAAGTCCCACCAGGGACAGATCCTTCGAAAAAGCCGCCCACACGCAAGAAGAGAAAAATCCCTCGAAGCGGACGGCCCGCATCCTGGAAAGCGGCCACGGGGCTCTTCTGGATCTTTTTGTTCCTCCAACTTTCCGGATGGTACTCGAAGGATTTACTACTGAGCGAGGAGGCTCCGCCTTATGGACTTTTGCACCGGATATGGATTCTCCACATGACCATATTTACCGTTCGACTCAAGTACTATGGTGTATGGGCTTTGACCGAGGGAGCCTGTATCCTCTCTGGTCTTGGATATAAAGGGATTGATCCTGCAACCGGGAAAGTCAGCTGGGACAGACTGTGCAATGTAAACCCCTGGGGTGTAGAGACTGCCCAGAATTCTCGAGCCTATCTAGGGAACTGGAACATGAACACGAATAATTGGCTTCGCAACTACATATACCTTCGCGTTACGCCTCGAGGGAAGAAGCCTGGTTTCAGAGCTAGCATGGCTACATTCGTTACCAGTGCCTTCTGGCACGGATTCTACCCAGGCTACTACCTAGCCTTTGTCCTTGCCAGCTTCGTGCAAACCGCAGCTAAGAGTACGTTTCTGTCCCTGATCTATCATACCCTTTCCCTTTACTAATTCACATATCCAGACTGCCGCCGCTACCTGCGACCTTTCTTCCTCGACCCCAAAACCTCCAACCCAACCCCCAACAAAATCTACTACGACATCGCGTCCTGGTTCATAACGCAAGCAGCGTTCACATTCGTAACCGCGCCATTTATCCTCCTCACGCTCCCAGACTCACTGCTCGTATGGACACGCGTGTATTTCTACGGCGTCATCGGCACCGCTGCCGTCACGGCATTCTTTAGCTCGCCCGGCAAAGACCTCCTAATCAAGAAACATCTACTCAGGACCGGAGCAGCAGAAGATGGTAAACTCGAGAAGGCCGCTAGCCAAGATAGCGAGGACAAAGAGCCACTTCTCGGCCTGCCAGGCCAACCACAGGAGGATCTCGAGGAATTAGTTGGCGAAGTAAGGGCCGAGCTCGAAGCGAGACAGAGGAGGGGGAGTTTGAAGACAGGGTTAAGAGACTCGGTGGTTGGTAAGGCGGGGATGCCTGCCTGAGCAATTTGACTTCGTGTTGACGACTCATTTACGGCCAAGGAAGACGCCGAAGCATCTTCCATTCACAGCATGATATGGATCACCACCCGAAGGAAATCAATAAAACTCAGCCGCTCTTCCCATATCTTCCCCATAGCTACCAGCTAGCAGGACCAATGGAATCCAATAAAATCATAATCGCAACCCAAGACCTCCCCGCTTCCCGGTAACTAGGTAGATATCTATTTACATATCTAAAATAAAACTACTAGCGCACCATCCCCAGAACCAATACTCCCTACCCACCTCGTGTTTTTTGCATGAACTGTATTTAAACTCATTAATGATGTGCCTCTCTTTCTAAAATCCGGTACCGAGGCCACTGCCACCCCTGTAAAGTAATATTTGTACATTTGATAAACCCATGTAGATTGGAGGGGTTGTTACCACGCCGCGACCCTGGAGCTGGTAGGTAGGATTTCGCTGCTAAAAATACGTCGTGGGTAGGTAGGGGGG